CCGCTCATTCTTCCCCTCTCTCCTGCAAGTGAGCGATCATGGTTGACCGCTCATTCTTCCCCTCTCTCCTGCAAGTGAGCGATCATGGTTGACCGCTCATTCTTCCCCTCTCTCCTGCAAGTGAGCGATCATGGTTGACCGCTCATTCTTCCCCTCTCTCCTGCAAGTGAGCGATCATGGTTGACCGCTCATTCTTCCCCTCTCTCCTGCAAGTGAGCGATCATGGTTGACCGCTCATTCTTCCCCTCTCTCCTGCAAGTGAGCGATCATGGTTGACCGCTCATTCTTCCCCTCTCTCCTGCAAGTGAGCGATCATGGTTGACCGCTCATTCTTCCCCTCTCTCCTGCAAGTGAGCGATCATGGTTGACCGCTCATTCTTCCCCTCTCTCCTGCAAGTGAGCGATCATGGTTGACCGCTCATTCTTCCCCTCTCTCCTGCAAGTGAGCGATCATGGTTGACCGCTCATTCTTCCCCTCTCTCCTGCAAGTGAGCGATCATGGTTGACCGCTCATTCTTCCCCTCTCTCCTGCAAGTGAGCGATCATGGTTGACCGCTCATTCTTCCCCTCTCTCCTGCAAGTGAGCGATCATGGTTGACCGCTCATTCTTCCCCTCTCTCCTGCAAGTGAGCGATCATGGTTGACCGCTCATTCTTCCCCTCTCTCCTGCAAGTGAGCGATCATGGTTGACCGCTCATTCTTCCCCTCTCTCCTGCAAGTGAGCGATCATGGTTGACCGCTCATTCTTCCCCTCTCTCCTGCAAGTGAGCGATCATGGTTGACCGCTCATTCTTCCCCTCTCTCCTGCAAGTGAGCGATCATGGTTGACCGCTCATTCTTCCCCTCTCTCCTGCAAGTGAGCGATCATGGTTGACCGCTCATTCTTCCCTCTCTCCTGCAAGTGAGCGATCATGGTTGACCGCTCATTCTTCCCCTCTCTCCTGCAAGTGAGCGATCATGGTTGACCGCTCATTCTTCCCCTCTCTCCTGCAAGTGAGCGATCATGGTTGACCGCTCATTCTTCCCCTCTCTCCTGCAAGTGAGCGATCATGGTTGACCGCTCATTCTTCCCCTCTCTCCTGCAAGTGAGCGATCATGGTTGACCGCTCATTCTTCCCCTCTCTCCTGCAAGTGAGCGATCATGGTTGACCGCTCATTCTTCCCCTCTCTCCTGCAAGTGAGCGATCATGGTTGACCGCTCATTCTTCCCCTCTCTCCTGCAAGTGAGCGATCATGGTTGACCGCTCATTCTTCCCCTCTCTCCTGCAAGTGAGCGATCATGGTTGACCGCTCATTCTTCCCCTCTCTCCTGCAAGTGAGCGATCATGGTTGACCGCTCATTCTTCCCCTCTCTCCTGCAAGTGAGCGATCATGGTTGACCGCTCATTCTTCCCCTCTCTCCTGCAAGTGAGCGATCATGGTTGACCGCTCATTCTTCCCCTCTCTCCTGCAAGTGAGCGATCATGGTTGACCGCTCATTCTTCCCCTCTCTCCTGCAAGTGAGCGATCATGGTTGACCGCTCATTCTTCCCCTCTCTCCTGCAAGTGAGCGATCATGGTTGACCGCTCATTCTTCCCTCTCTCCTGCAAGTGAGCGATCATGGTTGACCGCTCATTCTTCCCCTCTCTCCTGCAAGTGAGCGATCATGGTTGACCGCTCATTCTTCCCCTCTCTCCTGCAAGTGAGCGATCATGGTTGACCGCTCATTCTTCCCCTCTCTCCTGCAAGTGAGCGATCATGGTTGACCGCTCATTCTTCCCTCTCTCCTGCAAGTGAGCGATCATGGTTGACCGCTCATTCTTCCCCTCTCTCCTGCAAGTGAGCGATCATGGTTGACCGCTCATTCTTCCCCTCTCTCCTGCAAGTGAGCGATCATGGTTGACCGCTCATTCTTCCCCTCTCTCCTGCAAGTGAGCGATCATGGTTGACCGCTCATTCTTCCCTCTCTCCTGCAAGTGAGCGATCATGGTTGACCGCTCATTCTTCCCCTCTCTCCTGCAAGTGAGCGATCATGGTTGACCGCTCATTCTTCCCCTCTCTCCTGCAAGTGAGCGATCATGGTTGACCGCTCATTCTTCCCCTCTCTCCTGCAAGTGAGCGATCATGGTTGACCGCTCATTCTTCCCCTCTCTCCTGCAAGTGAGCGATCATGGTTGACCGCTCATTCTTCCCTCTCTCCTGCAAGTGAGCGATCATGGTTGACCGCTCATTCTTCCCCTCTCTCCTGCAAGTGAGCGATCATGGTTGACCGCTCATTCTTCCCCTCTCTCCTGCAAGTGAGCGATCATGGTTGACCGCTCATTCTTCCCCTCTCTCCTGCAAGTGAGCGATCATGGTTGACCGCTCATTCTTCCCCTCTCTCCTGCAAGTGAGCGATCATGGTTGACCGCTCATTCTTCCCCTCTCTCCTGCAAGTGAGCGATCATGGTTGACCGCTCATTCTTCCCCTCTCTCCTGCAAGTGAGCGATCATGGTTGACCGCTCATTCTTCCCCTCTCTCCTGCAAGTGAGCGATCATGGTTGACCGCTCATTCTTCCCCTCTCTCCTGCAAGTGAGCGATCATGGTTGACCGCTCATTCTTCCCCTCTCTCCTGCAAGTGAGCGATCACGGTTGACCGCTCATTCTTCCCCTCTCTCCTGCAAGTGAGCGATCATGGTTGACCGCTCATTCTTCCCCTCTCTCCTGCAAGTGAGCGATCATGGTTGACCGCTCATTCTTCCCCTCTCCTGCAAGTGAGCGATCATGGTTGACCGCTCATTCTTCCCCTCTCTCCTGCAAGTGAGCGATCATGGTTGACCGCTCATTCTTCCCCTCTCTCCTGCAAGTGAGCGATCATGGTTGACCGCTCATTCTTCCCCTCTCTCCTGCAAGTGAGCGATCATGGTTGACCGCTCATTCTTCCCCTCTCTCCTGCAAGTGAGCGATCATGGTTGACCGCTCATTCTTCCCCTCTCTCCTGCAAGTGAGCGATCATGGTTGACCGCTCATTCTTCCCCTCTCTCCTGCAAGTGAGCGATCATGGTTGACCGCTCATTCTTCCCCCTCTCTCCTGCAAGTGAGCGATCATGGTTGACCGCTCATTCTTCCCCTCTCTCCTGCAAGTGAGCGATCATGGTTGACCGCTCATTCTTCCCCTCTCTCCTGCAAGTGAGCGATCATGGTTGACCGCTCATTCTTCCCCTCTCTCCTGCAAGTGAGCGATCATGGTTGACCGCTCATTCTTCCCCTCTCTCCTGCAAGTGAGCGATCATGGTTGACCGCTCATTCTTCCCCTCTCTCCTGCAAGTGAGCGATCATGGTTGACCGCTCATTCTTCCCCTCTCTCCTGCAAGTGAGCGATCATGGTTGACCGCTCATTCTTCCCCTCTCTCCTGCAAGTGAGCGATCATGGTTGACCGCTCATTCTTCCCCTCTCTCCTGCAAGTGAGCGATCATGGTTGACCGCTCATTCTTCCCCTCTCTCCTGCAAGTGAGCGATCATGGTTGACCGCTCATTCTTCCCCTCTCTCCTGCAAGTGAGCGATCATGGTTGACCGCTCATTCTTCCCCTCTCTCCTGCAAGTGAGCGATCATGGTTGACCGCTCATTCTTCCCCTCTCTCCTGCAAGTGAGCGATCATGGTTGACCGCTCATTCTTCCCCTCTCTCCTGCAAGTGAGCGATCATGGTTGACCGCTCATTCTTCCCCTCTCTCCTGCAAGTGAGCGATCATGGTTGACCGCCTTCTTCCCCTCTCTCCTGCAAGTGAGCGATCACGGTTGACCGCCTTCAGGGTTCATGCACTTAAGAGATGATCGCCTCTCGGACTCTTCACATCATGCCTTGCACTTTGACAGCAACACTGTGAGTCAAACAATCCTTGCATGTGTCGAGCACGTTGTGATGTGAAGAGTCAGCACGCTATGTACATAGTGCGCATATCAAACACGCAGTTCGAGAGTTTCGTGTCCGGGTAATGTGGCTTAGAGTTCTCAACACTCGACCTAGCCGACCTTGGAGGCCATGCAGACCTCCCCTCTGATGATCAAATCGAAGGAGAAGTTCTACTGGACGACCAAGGGCGCCCGGCAACCAACTACGGGAGATGGGTCAAAGGCATGTACGACGAGCGGATCTACGGCGTTTCTCAATTAATTTCAACTGGGTGCCACAAACCAAATTCCCAATTGATTTCGACAAGGTGCCGAAAGCCAAGGTCCCACTCGATTTCGACGAGGCGTCGAAAGCTTAAACTGTGGGAGTTACAATTGTAACAGCGAGTAACTTGCTGCGAGGAAGGCCAACATCCTTTAGGTTCTGAGATTTCTCAGAAAGTTTGCCTCGTTCTGCATAGTTTCGATCTTATTTCCTTCTGCCACAGCTCTTCCCACACACGTTCTGTCACATGCTCCCGTCTGCATTTGCTCAACCCCTTGTCTTCTTCTATCAGCCTTTCCTGCTCATGGAGCTGAGTGCGGCAGGCAAGACCACGTTATCCTGCTTCTCCCTTCAAATTCATCCTCATTCCCATGTTGACCCTCATCCCGTCCGTCCAACTGCCGCCTCTTCCCTGCCTTCCTGCTCATGGAGCAGGCGAGCTCATATCGACCCCCGCATGCCTTCCTTCACATCCCTTCCCCACCCCTCCGTCTTCATCCCTTTCTCCCCTTGATCCCCGCGCAGCCTTCCCACTGGTGGAGCGCTCATGTCGACCCTCATCTTCCCTCCCTTCCCATGCGCTCGTTTCTGCCTATCCGTTTGCCCCCCTCTCTCTCCAATCTTCTCATAGCCTTTCTATTGATGGAGCTCACTGAAACGGGTGAGCCCATGTCGACGCTCTCATCCCCTTCCACACATCCCTCCACGTCCCTCCACGTCCCTCCACATCCCCCTTGCAGCCTTCCTGTTGATGGAGATCACTGAGACGGGCGAGCTCATGTGGACCCTCATCCCTTTCTGTCACATCCCTTCTCTCACGCTCCCACCCTCCGACTCCTCCCTCTTTCCTCTCACATGCAGCTTTCCTATTGATGGAGATCACTGAGACGGGCGAGATCATGTCAACCCTTCAGAACACGGCAGCATCCGCCTTCGATGCGAGCCAGCTGGTGCTGAACGCGTGTGTGGGGTACATGGCTGTGGACGAGGCGTTATTGGAGGTGAGGATGGGTGCAGTGTGGTGCGGTGCATGGGTGCGTGTGCATGGTGGGTACATGGCTGTGGACGAGGCACTGCTGGAGGTGAGGGATCTGTTACACGGGGTGAGGTTAGTATGGTGCATGGGTGCGTGGTTAAAGTGGATGAGAGTGGATGAAGAACTCTAGCAGCGTCGGCCTTTGATGCGAGCCAGCTGGTGCTGAACGCGTGTGTGGGGTACATGGCTGTGGACGACGCGTTATTGGAGGTGAGTCATAGCATTCTAGCATGGCATGGTGCATGGGTGAGTGAGCACACATGGAGAAGCCTAGCAGCATCGACGTTGGATGCGAACATGTGTGTGTGGGGTGGGGTGTGTACGTGGGTATTATCCAAGGTGAGGCATGGCACAGTGTGCATGGCTACGCGCTCTTGAAAACATTCCTCTCTCAACCCGGCTGCTGCTGCTGTTGCTGCCTTCTTCTCTTCCCCCCCCCCCCCAACACAATCTCAACCGCTCTCCCCTCCCCAGACCCTGAGGCAGAAGCACCGGCCAGCTATCATGCGGCAATTGGAGGAGAGGCAGGTGGCGTTGCAGCGTTAGCAGAGCGGCAAGTCACAACAGCAGAGAGTTTCCATTCCACCCTTAATCTTCTTCACCCTTCCCCTCCCTTCTTTTCTCCTCCCTTCCCCAGGCACTAAGGCAGAAGCACCGGCCAGCCATAATGAGGCGGCGGGAGGAGAGGCAGGTGGCCCTGCAGCGGTACCAGAGCGGCAAGTCAGAGCGGCTCAAGGCGGAGGCTGCAGCCATCTTTGAGCGCATGTCCCTCCACCCCTCTGCTGACGGCCGCCCTGTTGCTGCTGCATTAGGATCCGATCCCCCTTCCTCTGCCTTCTTCCACTCCCCCCTCCATCCCTCCCCTCTCCCCAGACTCTGAGGCAGAAGCACCGGCCGGCAATCATGCGGCGGCTGGAGGAGCGACAAGTCGCGTTGCAGCGGTACCAGAGCGGCAAGTCAGAGCGGCTTAAGGCGGAGGCTGCAGCCATCTTTGAGAGCATGTCCCTCCACCCCTCTGCTGACGGCCGCCCCCTCACCACCAACTCCCTTGACGACTCCATTCTCCCCTCCCCTTCTGCTGCCGCAACATCTGGTTCGGGTTCGCTGCTGGATCCGCCGTCGCTGCTCCTGCCACCCTCTACTGACAGCCTCGCTACTAACAGTTCTCTCACTAACAGCAAGAGCAGTAACGGTAGGAATAGTCAATTGCCGCCTCTGCCCACCCAGGGGCGTCAGAAGGGGGTTGTTCAGGAGGGCTCCCAGGCAGTTCCAACGGCCAATCAGCACCCGCCACCTGTCCAATTCAAGCCTGGAGCAAGGCTGTTTCCCCTCCCTCCCAGCCCTCCACTTGCCCGATCCTCCTCCCTGTCAAGGCTCCACGTGTCAGCTCTCCATAGGCCCGTTTGGCACCGCTTTGGCATGCACTTAGGGTGCAGCCCTGCCGCTAGAAACATGGTGGCGCTTTTAGCTAAGCAAATGGAGGAGGAGCGGTCGCAGCCCCGGGCAGCGCCGAAGCTGTCGCTGCCGAACCGAGTGGCTCGGGCCGTGGCTGTGCTGCTGGAAGCAGCAGGCGAGGATGGTGGGAGAGAGAAAAGGGATGGGATTGTGAATGGTGGCCTGGATATGCCAATAGATGGTTCCTCCTGGCCTGATGTGAGATGGCCGGTAACCAGCACTGTCTCATCACTCTCTTCTGCAAGCATGCTAGCAGGCGGGCTAGCAGCAGGAGCAGCAGGTTCGGTCTCTTTCTCCGTCTCCTCTCTCTCCTCCGCTTCCCTCCCACCGTGGCCTGACCACCGCCGCTCGTCCTCGTCTCACGACCTCGCTGCTCTCAATCGCAGCCCCGCCTCTCCTCCCATCCCTTTCCCTGCCAACGGTGCTACCGGTGCCTCTGCTGCTGCTGGTGCTACTGGCAGTGACGGTGGTGCTGGTGGCGAGGATTGCTCCAGAGAGGGAGCGGGTGCAGCAGCGGCTGTGGAACCAGGAGTGGCAGGGGGGGAAGCGGGAGCAGAGGGAGCAGGGGGAGCAGGGGGAGCAGCAGCAGCCGTACCATCAGCCAGTGCTGCATGGCGCTGGTCCGCATGGGGGCAGGCAGGGTCTCTGTTCGGTGGAGGAGGAGGGGCAACACCTGCTGCTACTGCTGATGCAGCTGCAGGGGCAGATGGGCTGGCGGGGGAAGGGGAGGAGCAGGTTGAGGATGGTGCAGAGCGGTTGAAGAGGGATATGACGGCGATGCTGGATCTGCAAGCGCAGGTTAGTGTGGGCTCCAGGGCAGGTTGTTTTTTCAACAGGTGGATTCTACGTAACTTCCAGGGCAGGTGGGCTCCAGGGCAGGTGGGTTCCCTCCCTTGCTTCCCTCTTCTCTTTCCCCTCCCTCACTCCCTCCTCTCCACCCCCTCACTCCCCTCCCTCCACTCTCTCCCCTCTCTCTTCTCCCTCCTGCCAGGTGGCGTGGCTCAAGGAGCAGCTGGTGTTCACTCTGGAGAGCCATCAAGAGTCACAGGAGCGGTGAGTGAGTGAGAGTATGGCCACTTGCACGATTAGGCACAATGTTGACAGCAATGAGATTCGATCCAGAGACCTAGTGCAAGCTTGAATACGAGTAGCGCAGCCAGTGTACACTTTGGACTGGAAAACCAGTACAGTCACAGCAGCGGTGAGAGTTATGGCCACTTGTTGACAGCAGCGAGAATTGATCCATAGACTTTTAGGTTAATTGGTTGGTTAAATCCGAGCTGGTGGTGTTTACACTGCAGAGCCGTCACGAGTCACAGCAGTGGTGAGATGGAATATAACCACTTGTTGACAGCAGCGAGAATCAATCCATGGACCTCTCAATCATCTAACAGAAAGCTGAACATGAGCAGCTGGTGTTGACAAGTGAAGGCAGCATGAGGGGTCATTGTCAGCAGACAGCAGTGAGAAACAAACCACACTGTGGCGGATTCAGTTGATTTGATTATTAAAGTGAAACTGACAATTGTCACATCAATAAGAGCTACTTAGTAGTGATCTCAGGCTGGCACTGCAAGTGTGATATGGCTGCGATAACACGGGATGTTCCCAGTGGTAGTGTGTGCAGCAATGAATGATGATGTCATCACGCCACTCTGTGTCCCTGTGCATGAAGGGCAAGGGCCCTTAGACAGCTAATTATGATGCCACTGCCATTGTTTGAAGCGCGATCACGAGCTCATAATGATGCCACCATGCCACTGCATGCGTGTCTGTGTGCATGCAGGGTGGAGGCTCTTCAGACAGCCATGGTGGAGATGGCACAGAGAGACACACATATGCAACTCACAGTGAAGGTGGGTGTGAACGTGTTGCATGTACGCACGCACGGTTCTGAGCTGCTTCATGCATTCACGTTATGCGGCTCTTCCCTCCTCTTCACAGCCTCCTTCTCTTCGCATGACTCGGTGCTGCTGCTTCGTGTGCATGCGAGCAACTACCGGTATCACTACCCTAGTGCTTTTCCTTCACCAGTTGAAGTCCGCTGTTGCATCACTGGAAGCTAGACGCACTCGATTAACAATATGGAAGTGCTTCAGAGGGAGTTGTTCCAGCAATCCCACCCACCCGAAGGCGCCCAACCCTAACTCACCCCCTCTTCATTCCCCTTCTACTCTGTTCCCCTCCCTCAACCCCCATCCTCCCTCACCCATCCCTCTTCCCGGCAGGTGGAGCAACTGATTGATGAGCTGGAAGTGCTTCGGAGGCTTTATTGAAATCACTTTTGAGAATTCTCCAAAGTGTTTTCAATATGCTCCCACAGCAGCCCTGTTTCTATGCGCCTCATCTGCCCTTCCATCTCGTCCCTTACCCTCCTCCTCGGTCCCACGCAGTCCCTCTGCCTGGAAGATAGAGCAACTGACCAATGAGGTGGAGGTGCTTCGGAGGGAGCTGTCGCAGCAATCCCACTTGAGGCATCCTGCCCTCTATGTTGCCATTTACCCCTGCATCCTCTCCATTCCATCCATCCCTCCACACCACCTAGCAGGTAGAGCAACTGACCAACGAGGTGGAGGTGCTTCGGAGGGAGCTATCACAGCAGCAGCAGCGGGCCGCGGTGGTGCTCGAGCAAGCTGTCATGGACAAGCAGGTGCGACTCTGTGTGCTTATAAGAGCTGTCTGTAACGGAGGAAGGCATGACTGCAGCAGCAGTGGGCTGGGCAGCAGTGGTGCTCAAGTTGAGCAAGATGTTTTGGACGGGCAAGCAGGTGCGACGAACGGAACAATGAGAATTCTCAAAAATAACTTTGCCCTTGACTTCCGTCGACTCTCGCACTACCTTTTCAGCTTGGTCTTCAAAGGGATTCGAACACGCTCTTGCTGGGGGCGTTGATTGGCTAGTTATTATTCAGCTCTTGTCTATCGGATTCCGCTAATTTGAATTCCCCTGTCTTGGCTCTCGTCGGCTTTCACCACCTTTTTGTCGGATTAATAATTGTGGGGGGCTGAATACACTATTTATGAGGGCGTTGATTAGTACTACTGGGGCTCTAGCTGGATCCGTCTTTGACTTATGTTGACTTTTGTGGACTTTCATCACCCCATTTCAACTGTCAGATTGAGATGCAGCGGGAGTTGAACGCACTGCTGAGGGCATTGGCATCGAAGGAGGAAAAGATGAGGCGAGACGTGGAGGGGCTTTGGCTGACTTTGGTTGACTCTAATTGACTTCCATTGCCCTGCTTACCGCCCTCACAGATTGAGATGCAGAGGGAGTTGAACGCGCTGCTGAGGGCATTGGCATCAAAGGAAGAGAAGATGAGGCGAGATGTCGAGGGGCTTCATGATATGACAGGGTGAAAAGACTGGTTGACTTGCATTGAAAATGGGTGGACAAAGTTCCCTGTACCTCTACTACTAACCCCTCCATCCTCTCCTCTCAGATTGAGATGCAGAGGGAACTGAACGCACTCCTGAGAGCATTGGCATCGAAGGAGGAGAAGATGCGGCGGGATGTGGAGGGGCTGCACGATAGGGTGGAGGACAAGGAGATGGAGATCGAGCGACTCAAGCGGGTGAGTGGGTGTGGCTGTGTGTCACTGCATGCTGGTGTGTGAGGAGAGGAAAGGGCATGAAACCCACAAGTTGAACTTTCATGAAGATGCATCAGGCCCTTCGTTTGTCTCAGAAATCAGCTAGCTTGTTACATGCTCGGGTTTCTAGTCGACGCATACATCAGTGTGTCTATCGCATGCTCCTGCTTTGTCGTTCGCAATCGACTCGGCTTGCCTTGTGCATCCTCCCTCCTCCCTGTTGCATGCAGGTGATTGGTCGTCTGGAGGGGGAGAAGAGGGAGCAGGAGGAGTTGATAGCAGTGGGCAGGCAGCAGGTGGACACTCACAAGCGCGTCATTGAGATGCTCGTGGTGAGTGTGGTGGGGAATGATGTGCAGCATTTGCCTTGTGCCATGTAAACACACACGTCAGGGCAGGCAGCAGGTGGACACTCACACAAGCGCGTTATTCAGATGCTCGTGGTGAGTCTGGTGCTGTGTGTGCCATGGCAATACTATGCGTGGCCTATGTGTTACCATGCGCCTTCTATCGCAAGCAGGCAGCAGGTGGACACTCACAAGCGCGTCATTCAGATGAGATGCTCGTGGTGAGTGTGGTGCACTCTATGTGGAGAGTCAAAGTACCCACAACCCATGCCATGTGCCATGTGCCACGTGCCATGTGCCATGTGCCATGTGCCATGTGCCATGTGTCATACTTGTGCTTCCTATCCACACCCCCCCCAATCCCCCCACTTGCGTGCCTTCCCTCAATCCCCTGCTGCCATGTCCCCGCCTTGTGCAGGAGTGTCAGGCCCACCTCCGCTCCTGCCTCTCCCCATGCCTCTTCCCCTACCATCCCTTCCCCCCCGACTGCAGGAGAAGAGCCAGGCTATGCAGCAGCAGATGGTGGTTATGTGCCATGATTCATCCCTCCCACCTCCCCTCCCACCTCCCCTCCCACCTCCCCTCCTGTCCACCTCCTCTCTCACTTCTTCCCCACATGCGTGCAGGAAAAGGGGCAGACGATGCAGCAGCAGATGGCGGCGATGTGTCACGCTTGTGTTTACCATCCTTTCCCCCCCTCTCCTCCTTCGCATGCCCCATTCTCCCCCCTCCTACTATGCACCCACCTGTCTGCAGGAGAAGGGACAGACCATGCAGCAGCAGATGGTGGCCATGGAAAAGAGAGCACTCACTGCAGAGGGGTGAGATGAGGGAGAGGATAACGGTGGCAAGTTTTTTGGTACGGTAGTAAGGTTTTTGGTGTGGCACCAAGGTGCTGCTGGTTTTCTAGCAGCAGCAGCGCCTGCTAGTGGTAAGGAATACTCAAAACGGCACTTATATTGAAGGGGAAGCCTGGGGTGCAGGGGGGATGGCTGGGGTGACATTGTAACGGGAGCTGTGAGTTTTGAGTAGAGTGACGTGGCACTCGCACAATGGGGATGTGATGGGGGCATCTGCACAGGTGAGTTTGAGTCGACTGAGAAAGGCACTCACAATACAGGTGAGAGTTGGTGGGGCAGACTAGGCTGCACAACGGTGCAGGTCTGGCACCAATGCGGCAGCAAGAGGCAACATATTGATGTTTCCTGTTTCCCCTGCTCCTTCCTCCCCCCTCCAGCATGGCGCGAGCTTTTCTGGAGATATCAGGGGCAGAGAAGGGCTACACCACCTTTGGCTCGGCTGTGGGGCTCGAGTCCTCCTACCTGCCCTCCACTGCTGACCTTGACACACTCACCCACTCGCCTCTGCCCTCGCCGTCCTCGTTAGTAGCATCCTCGCTATCATCACTGGCATCGTCGTCAAGTACAGAGCAATTGTCATCAGCAGTCACTGTGGAGGGCAAGGCAAACGCGTTACAAGCATCATCGTCTGGAGAAGGGAGGGGTGGCAGCAGACCCGCTGTGCCGAACAGTACCGCTACACCTACTGTATAAATTACCGTCATCACCCGGATATAAGACAGTGTTGAATAGTAGACAGGGGTTGTCTATTATACGGGTGTCTCTTATAAGACACCTATTTGTGTGTACGGGTTAAGAAAGTGTAGGAGTTAGGGGCAAATGTATAGCGAGGGGGTATCTTCTAAACGGTTCTTTGTCCATTTATAAGATTTATAAGACACCCTAAACCATCCCGTTTACAAGATAACTCAAGCATTTTTGCCCGTGTACGAGATAAGACATATATGTCTTATATCCGGGCGATGACGGTATGAGTACAATAACAATAGGGACCTTGCCATGCCATCAAAATATGATTATATATAATGGTCAACGGCACGATAAATGTATCGAGTAACGTCAGCATTGTAATGCCTGTTGCTTCTACTACTAACAGTCTCACCAACCTGCTGCTGGCCAAAGTGGGTTTACTGAAATTCGATTCGAGCCAGCAAAGTCCTGTGGCAAGAGCAGCGAGTGCAACGCAGCAGAAGCAACCACATTGCTTACCTGCTACCGGCATATGGGTGAAGCCACAAGGCCAAGCCTGTAGTGCTTTTCCAGCTTCAAGCAAGGTCGAGAACAATCTAGTACGCAGGCAAGAAGGTGGTGAATGGGTGGCTGTAACATTGAAGCTACTGGAGCAGGCAAAATAAATACAGCTAGCAGAAGCAGCTGAAAAGCATACTTCACTGTACAGTACCAATTGCAAGCCTGCACAGCAAATGCCTCTTGCAATAAACACCCTCCCTTTACACCTCTGCACTGCGTCCCTCTTTTAACTCCCTCTCAAAGTACATATGCACGAGGCAGCAGGCCGTTTACAATACTAACCGCGTTTTTCTCCCCTGCAATGCAGCATCCACCAGTTTCAGCTGTAGCTAACACTGAGTAATGGGCTTGTTACATCCACACCGCACCCATGCTACTATCAGCAAGCAAAGCAGCCAAAGCAGCGCAGACCATCAAGCACCTTGGCACGAGCCCACGCCTCTTCCACCCTCCCCCCAGCCACCTGCAGCAGACGCACCACCACCTGATAGCAACCCACGATGGCATGCACTTGCTTGCACCCACGTGCACTGATCTGTCTACCACCCATCCACACTACTCCTCACTAGCACCTTAACTCTTTGTCCACCCTCACCCCAGCAGCCTGCAGTAATCGCATGTCCATGTGGTTGCGCCTCACAATCATGTCCAACACCTCCCCATGCACCTGCGACGCACCTCCTCTACAGCATGCCCACGCTCCTTCCTCCCCATGCCCCGATTCCCACAAGAGTGCAGCAGCTATCCATCAAGCAGCTATCCATCAAGCAGCTTGGCACGAGCCAATGCTTCTTCCACCCTCTCCCCAGCAGCATGCAGCAATCGAACGTCCACGTGGTTGCGCCTCACAATCGTATCCAACACCTCCCCATCCAATATCCCCATCCCATACTCACACTGGAGCACAGCAGTTATCCATCAAGCACCTTGGCTCGACCCAACGCTTCTTCAACCCTCTCCCCAGCAGCCTGCAGCAATCGCACGTCCACGTGGTTATGACGCAGGATCGTATCCAACACCTCCCCATGCACCTGCGAGGCAAACGGCCTCGTTGCCTCCCATCCCGCCCTCACCGCATTCTCCAGCGCCTCTCCTTCCCCCTGCCTATCCTGAACCCCAGCACCGCTTGTAACACGGTTACCACATCCCCTGCCATGTCGTATCGCGCGACAGCCACTGTCTGCTTCTGTGTTGCTACTGCTAACGGAGCTGCTGTAAGGGGGATGTTTAGGACCCTGGATACGGCCCGGGAGAGCCGGTTATCAGTGGTGGAATCCTCTTGATTTGCAGGGAGAGACTGCAGGTGGTGTGTGAGAGCGTGCAGAAATTCTAAGTTTGAAATGCCTGCTGGCACGGGCATGCCGGGATAGAGGTTCTTGAACCAGGCAGGGGCGTTGTGGGGGTTGGAGGAGTAGGAGAGGTAGTCGGTTGCGAGAGCGAGGGAGATGTGGTGGGGGAGGAGGAGAAAGGTGAGGGTGGAAGGGGATGGGGAGAGGAGGAGGGGGAAGGAGGGGAGGGTGTAGTTGGGGCAGGAGGAGAGGGAGGAGCGGAGGGAGGCTAGGGCGAGAGGTATGGTGGCGAGCGGAGGTATGGCGAAGGCTCGGAAAGTTGTGGTTCGGGAGAAGTGGGAGCAGAGGAGAGCTGAGACCTGGCGCCACTGGGGAAGCTGCCAGGAAAATGCATGGCAAGCAAGATGAGGGGGGGGGGGGGGGGAGGGAGGGGAGGGAGGGGTTGAGGGGGAATGGGAGGGAGGGTGAGGGAAATAATTCTACCCAAGTTCCATTCGAACTCCACCCAAAGTCCACCCAACCTCCACCCAAGTTCCATCCACAAAAATTCCACCCATTTTTCAGTAGCACCCATATTTCACCCAAATTGCAGATGCACACAAAGTCCACCCAAATATACTCCCTCACCTGGAGGATGGGAGGCTGCAGGAAGAGTGGCAGCGTGGCTGGGGAGCAGCGCACGATGCCCCTGACAGGCGGGAAGCGGAAGCAAGGTGAGACCACCCCAGTGATGCTGGGGACGGGGTGAGCGGGCTGCAGGGGCAGCGGCAGGCGCGCCTGGGCTAGGCGCGCAAAGTCGTCCGGTTGGCCGGAGAGCAAGAAGGGGAAGAGATCCTGCTTTGGGGGGAAGGAGGAGGGGGCAAGGGGGGGCTCTGTTTGCAGTGGGCGGGCTGCAGGGGCACAGGCAGGCATGCTTGAGCTAGGCGGGCGAAGTTGTGCGGCTGGCCGGAGAGCAGAAAGGGGAGAGACCCTGGGAGGCGGGGGGAGGAGAGGGGTAGGTGCGGGTTTCGAAGGGTAGGAGCAAGGTGGGGCGGGGCACAGGCAGGGCGAAGTCGAGCGGCAGGCCGGAGAGCAGCAAGGGGAAGAGATCCTGTGTAGGTCAGGTGGGCAGCACGGGGAGGGACTCGCGGTCACATCATATCCAATGGCTGTTCATTGTCGGATGCAAACGCCCCTGCCAGAACCATGAAGGAAAAAAAACATTTCCAGCTCTGCCCCACATTCACCCCGTACGTTTACAGCGGCCAGTGCAGCGGTTGGCAGGAGGGGAAGGACGGACACCATACTTGATCACATCGCAGTGAGCAAACAGACACCCACCCTCCTGCTGCTGCCACCCTTCTAACGCTCCCTCTGCTGCTGCCGGGGGACCTCACTCACCCACCCCCCCACTCACCCCATAGGTGGACAGCGGGCCAATTAGGCAGTTGGCCGGTGGAGGTACCCCGAAGTTTATCACATCGTAATCAGTAAACAGACCCCCTCCTGCTGCTGCTGCCCTTGCTCCCTTCAAAGCTCTCCCTCTGTTGCTGCCCTCCCACCCACCTCTCCCCCCCACTCACCCCATACGTGGACAACGGTCCAACAAGGCAGTTGGCAGGGGGAGGTACACCAAAGTTGATCACATCGTAGTGAGTAAACCAGAACCTCCGGTGCCTGTCACCCTTGTAACTCTCCCTCTGATGCTGCATTTAACCTCTCTCGTGCCCCACTCACCCCATACGTGGAGAGCGGACCAATCAGACAGTTGCCCGGGGGAGGGACCCCAAAGTTGATCACATCGTAGTGAGCAAACAGGCCTCCTCCTCCTGCTGCCACGGCCAGCCAGCGAGTCACAATGGGCTGATAGCATGGGGCATTGGCAGGGGAAAGAAGCGTCGAGGCAGGAAGACAGGAGGGGAATACAAGGTTATTTTTTAGACGCCTCAGAATCACCACGATGGGCTGATAGCATCAGGCATTGGCAGGGGAAAGGGAGGCGTGGAGGTGGGAAGAGGGGAGGGGAATAAAAGGTCAGAACAGAGTAGGGAGTTTTCAGAGAAGCAAGGAAAGGGCAACAAGGGAACTCGAGGGAGCGACGTGACGTATCAATGAGAGGTGGTGAAAAAACAACACGTCAGTTCCTCGAGTCCATTCCTCTCCCCCAACATACAACTCACACATCGTACATTGGAAAGTTGCCAACCCTCTCCCCCTTTCCATGCCTCCGCCCCTCTCACCTTCACTGCTCGTCTCAGCATCTCGTCATATTCCCCATGCCCTTTCACGCTCCCCTCTTGTCCACCCCCATCTTCCTTCCTCCCCTCAGTTCCTCTTTCACCTTCATTGCTGAACCACCTGCTTCCTCCCAGCAGCACCACCGGGACCCACCCACCCTTGAGCTTCCCAACAACTATCCCTCCCTTCTCTCTCTCTCTCTCTCCTCCCCTCAGTCCCTCTCTCACCTTCATGGCTGATCCACCTGCTTCCTCCCCTGCTCGTCTCAGCATCTCGTGATATTCCCCATGCCCTTTTATGCTCTCCTCTCCCCGCAGCACTACCGGCACCCACCCCGCTTTGAGCCAACTCAGCTGCCACACGTGCAGTAAACTGGAGGTGGGGGGAGGTGGAAGACGGGGGGGAAGAGGGCAAGTGCAGGGGGATTAAGTGGGGAGAGGTGGGGACAGCGAGACTACGAGAATGCACCCAACACGCCTTGAGCCAACGCTGCCACACGTGCAGCAGACTGGGAGAAAAGAGGGGGAAAAGGGGAGGAAGGGGGGAAGGAGAGCACAGACGCATAGGCATTGGGTGGCAACAGTGAGGTGAGACAAAACGTATGCATTCACCCCACCTTGAGCCAACTCAGCTGCCACACACAGCAGACTGTGAGGGGGAAGGAGGGAAATGGGGAATGGAATAGTGTGTATGAGGTGCAAACGGAGCCAGCAAGAAAGAAAGTGGGGCTACAAAATGGGATTCGCCATACAATTGGGGGCTAGACAATCACTAAGGAGACATAGAGCCACAACAGCACATCCATACATTCACTACACTGCCCAACAGTGCGCTCATACAATCTCAAAAATGTTCTCTCATAGAAAAGTGCTACACCCATTCCACTCACCTCGCCTCCTCCTCCACATCCCTCACAACTGGACTCGGGTCAAAGAA